GAGCCCTCCCGCCCCCAGTTGGGACGCTGAACTGTGACCACCGCATGGCACAGCCAACGCCTCTGCCCCTGCCCTCGCGGGGGGTGTGGGGGGTGCACACACCTCAGTCCACCATGGGCACGTCACACCCACGGCCTCTTGTAGCTACTGGCGCAGGGCCCCCTCCGGCCATTGGCCCCACACCTGCCCCTGCCCCCAGCTCATCTCCAGGGGACTCAGTGGAGCCCTCCCTGCAGCCCCCTTTCCATTGGCCTGTTTTGTCGACAAGCACTCTCCTCCCTCCTTGAACAGTCCTCCCTTTTCCTTGCTTCCCTGACCCCAGTCTGCACCTGGGTGGGCCCCCAGGGTCACGAAGCCTCATCACCAAAACAACTTCTCCACGGTCTCCCTTCGCCACTTTCTGCCTTGTTTGTGGGCTCCCTGGTCAACCTGGGCCAGGTACAGTCTCTGAAATCACCTGGGCCACAGGGCCTTTGCACACCTGCCTCCCCCCTGCCGTCCCACCCTGCTGGGAAGTCCTGAGCCTGTCATGGTTCTGGAAGTTTCTGTGGCCCCTTCCCTGCCCACCTTACTGCCCTGGCACTCACCTCCACCTGCTGGGCTCGGCGTGTCTCGTCTGTGTGCTCACTGTCCATCTCCTTGCCCCGGACCCTGAGCTCCCTGCAGACAGGCGTCTCCTTTCTTTTCTCTTGGGTCCTGCCCCCATGTGTGCCCCGGACTGTTCCCCATCTCTCGCCCAGTTACGCTCCCTGAGGTGGTCGTTGGGGGCCGCCGCCAGGGCCTAGGACAGTGATGGCGAACCTTTTGAGCTCGGCATTTCAGCATTTTGAAAAACCCTAACTCTGGTGCCGTGTCACATAAAGAAACTTTTTTAAAAAAAATATATTTTATTGATTTTTTACAGAGAGGAAGGGAGAGGGATAGACAGTTAGAAACATCAATGAGAGAGAAACATCGAAAAGCTTATATTTTTGGTATTTATTTTATAAATTTAAATGCCATTTAACAAAGAAAAATCACCCAAAAAAATGAGTTCGCGTGTCACCTCTGACACGTGTCACAGGTTCGCCGTCGCTGGCCTGGGAGCTGGGCTCTGGGGCCCGCAGGCCGTCCCTGGCCCGTGCTGAGGAGCCATGCGTCAGGGGCAGAGGTGGATCCACCAGGCGGGGGCCCCTCCCCGCCCACACATGTCTGGAGGCCTCTGAGCGGGCACGGCAGGGCGCAGACAGCCACCACTGCTCTCGGGCGGCCGTCCTGGTGGAGACGGGAGCCTGTAAGAGACCTTCCGGCCGCCACCTGTGGCTGGGCTGCCTGGGGCTTCACCGAGCTCTTGGCTGGCATCCCTGCGGTTGCCATGGGGATAAGCGTCTGCAGGACCGGCCCCTCCTGCTCTGGCCATGGTCCTGTTACCTTTGTGTGTGTGGTGCCAGCAGAGGGTCGGTGGCCGGCAGGACGCTGGTCATTGGCTGTTATCAGGCCGTACGGTGGTGTCCATTTCCTTCCGGCCCCAAGGCCACAGATGCCCTAGGAGGTGGCCCGTATGTGCCCTGTGGCGGCGGGTGCAGCGGGCAAGGCTGGGCAGTAGGCAGTGGATGGGACTCGGGTTCGGGTCTGGTCACGGCAGGGGGTGGTTGCTGGACAGTGGGGCCGTCCTTCCCTGTGGCCAGACGAGAGCCGCCTGGGAGACTGCGGTGGCACCACCGGGAGGAGACCGACCTGGGGGGGGTCTCAGCCCAGGTTTCAGGAGGAGGGGAGGCCCCCAGCCGGCGTGCCAGCCCAGCACCCGTTCCTCCGCCTTGGCCTTGGGAGGGGGGATGGGTCACAGCAGGTGGCTGCAGCCTCTTCCACCCGAGCCTGGGCCTGAGGCTGGAGGGAGGGAGGGCCCTCAGGCGAGAACGCACTTGGAGGACTTGGCGCTCTGTCCCCTCCCTGCGCCTTCTCCTTTCTGTCTGCCGTGGGTGTGGCATGTTCTCGCCTCACATGTTGTCCACGCCGCCGTCATGAGGTCGTTTCCCAGCCCGAGGGCTCTGCAGGCCAGGGGTCCAGCGTGCCCAGGGGGCCTGGGACAGGGGCAGAGGGCGGTGGGGGAGGGGAGGGTGTGGCAGCACCTCCCTGGCCCTGTCCCTGCAGGCGCTGGCCAGGACGTGGGCCGGAGCTGCATCCTGGTCTCCATTGGGGGCAAGAACGTCATGCTGGACTGTGGGATGCACATGGGCTTCAACGATGACGTGAGTCCGGTGGGCGGGCGGCCGGGGCACCTGTGGGGCTGGGAGGTCCTGCCCCCCAGCCTGGCCCTTGTCGCGGACCTGAGGGACCTGGGGTTTCAGGCTCTGGCCCATGGGAGGGGGACAGTCTTGGCAAGTGGCAGTGCAGGAGGCAGGTGGGTCTGGGGCCACTGCCCTCCTGGGCAGCCCCCACCGTCACATGACAGGGGCTGTCCTGCAGGGGTCGGTCAGTCCAGAGGAGGGCTGGTGGGCTTCTGCAGGGCTGCGTGTGGTGAGCTGGGCCCGGCTGCTGGCTCCGGCCTGACCCTGTAGTCCAGAGGAGGGCTGGTGGGCTGCTGCAGGGCTGCGTGTGGTGAGCTGGGCCCGGCTGCTGGCTCCGGCACTGACCCTGTGCTCAGAGGCTGTGGGCAGTGGTCCTGGTGCCGCCTGCGGACCCGGTGTGGGTGCCCTGCTCCCTGGAGCACTGGCTGCCCCGCCCGTCACCTGAGACCCAGGCAGCCGCTGCCCCGCGACACCCCATGGCCTGCAGCCTCCAGGGGCCGAGCCGGAAAGGCTCGGGGGAAGGGTTCCGACGCTTTCTCTCGATTCCTCAGAGGCGCTTCCCAGACTTCTCCTACATCACCCGCAACGGCCGGCTGACCGACTTCCTGGACTGTGTGATAATCAGGTGGGCGCTGCCACAGGACTGGGGGACAGGGCTGAGGGATAGGGCTGGGGGATAGGGCTGGGGGGAC